TGGATGATAAAGTCACTTTCTTATTTAACAACTTGAAGACATTTATTTGCCCCCTGATTTGATTTTATTTATATAAAATTCAGATGTTCTGAAGTGAAATATGCGCATACATGCCTTTCTTTAATGATGTTATCAACTGGAAAAATCTGCTCACACAAATATACAGATTTCACAATGAAAACAACGTTACATTCTGCGGTTCAAAGAAAGCTAAGGGGATTGTTTGTTTGTTATGAATTTCGCGCAAAGCTACACGAGGGCTATCTGCGCTAGCCGTCCCTAGTTTAGCAGTGTTAGACTAGAGGGAAGGCAGCTAGTCATCACCACCCAACGACAACTCTTGGGCTACTATTTTACCAACGAATAGTGGGATTAACCTTCACATTATAACGTCCCCATGGCTGAAAGGGCAAGCATGTTTGGTGTGAGGGGGATTCGAGCCCGAGACCCACAGATTGCGAGTCGAGCGCCCTAACCACCTGACCATGCCGGGCCAAGCTAAGGCGAACAGAGGTAAACCATAATGATTAACCAGAAGTTATGAATTCGAAACGCCTATGCTATTAACAAAACGAAGCTAGTACTTATTCAAACCTCGTTAATTTGTTTGTCTGGTATTTTAAGCGCAAATCTACACAACGGGTTGCCTGCGCTCTGTCCACCGCGGAGAATCGAATCCCGAGTCTTAACGTTGTTAGGCCGTAAACATACCACTGACCAACTGAGGAACACCTTGTTAAATATATCTGTAATATTCCAAACGTTTAAACGTAGGAAAATGTCCTACTTTAATATAAAAGCACATTTCAGATTCATGTAAGGTGTACATCTGAGTTCGCGTACGTATAATGCCCACACTTAATCTATTTAAGATATAAATGAAAGTAAAAATTCATATTTATTATAAAAACATCAGAACAAACACACATCTCACAACATGAAACGATTGTTTACCCTTATTTTGTCGTTTTTAACTGATAAAAAGCAAGTGTTAACTGCTGTCTCCGAGTGGTGTTTTGTTAGATCACTAAGCCTAAAAGACAAAAAAGGACAAGTTGTAACAGCTATATATATTGCACTGTTCATATCAACAGCAGACATATTTTGATTTTGTTCAGAAAATTGGTTTTGCAGATAAGAGAGGACTGAATGTCACTTTATTATATCTTAACATAATAAGAAAACGCGAATCTGCCTTTTTAATAGACGTGTCAAAACAAAACACAATGAAGGAATAATCATTTCACACCACGTGCTTACAAAAAAACTCAGAAATTTGTCTTCCCCTCATTTAGGTATTTCAGAACTGTATTGTATAAATATCATTTGGTACGGTAAAAGGCTTAGATTGGCCTAGTGGCTAACGTGTCAGACTGTTAAGCTGAGATTTTACGGTTCTTGCATCTTTAACTCAAAAATAAATAAATAATAATAATTACGCTTCGCACTTTGGGGCCATGGGTGTTTTATAATTCCACTAATCGATTTGATAAGAGTAACCCAAGAATTGGTGGTGGGTGATGTTGAATAGCTACGGATGGTCCTCGTGAGCTTTACAAACAAATAATGGGATTGACCGTCACATAATATCACACCCCGACGCTTGAAAGGGAGAATATGTCCGGTGCTAAGATTCGAACCCTAAACCACTATGTCCCTATCCCAGTGAAGAAAACGAAATATATGTCGCTCATAGAGTCGGTATCTTTGCTAAAAGTGTTAACTCCTCTCACTCTAGCTTTCATCAAAATCACAGATACTTCCCTATTACCAGTGTAGCTACCGTCACGATTATAGATACTAGCCTTGGTATTAGTACTATCACTATAGTAATACAACAGGTACTATTACTGTTGGTGCTGTTACCGTTACTATTATCAAGATAGCTGCTATTACAATCACAGGTACTACTGTCCTTGTCACATGTTAAGATAACGCAATAATTGTGATAAAGACTGCCTTGCTTCATTTCGGCAGTTTGTGTTTATTTGCTACTTATCTAAATATTTATCAATTCAGGTTTTAACTATTTCGCAAACGAAGTAACCTATAATTTTTTACGAGTTTCTTGTTATATTAAAACGTGATAAAAAAAGTGCTTTGTACCATAAAAGAGAGAACGCATTTATTCGCATATTCTGGCAAAGATGGTAAAAAGAATAGCTATAATTCGCGCCTAATACGGGAAACGCCTTCACTTTTTAGTGATTTGTAGTTAAGATAAAATGCTTCGGCAATTTTTTTTCTTGCATCAATCAATTAGAAAGCTTTATGAACTCCGTATTTCGCTTTACATACACTTTTAGCTACTACTTCTGTGTCGTAGATAATCCGCTTATGAAACGAAAATTCAAATTTTAACTTTCTGATAAAAATAAGATATATCATTTACTGTCTCTACGTATTTTATGGTGAATTAAACATTCTTTCCCTCATCATAAAATCCATGCACGCTTTTGTAAACATTGCGATCATTTAGAAATAGAGAGATCTTTACTTTAATGGTTTCTTGTGAATTCAAGTCGAAGCGATAAGATATCCAATGAATCTCAGAAATAAATCATGAAAGTATTTTCTAATATATATATATGTATATATATATAAATTATAATAAATCAGCTTTTAATTAAAATATGAAGCTGTATCTCATAATTAAAAGTATTTTCTAATATATATATATGTATAT